ATATATATATATATATATATATATATATATATATATGTACATATAAATTTATTTTATACAAAGTGATAGTATTTTAAGTGTTAAACTTTATCATCTGCAAAAGTGCAATATTTGAATACTTTTGTCATTTTTAATTTAATATGATATACATGATTTTTATTGTCATTTTTTATTTGATGTCATAATTTAAGAAGTGAGTAGCACATTTTAAACTTACTGATTGAGAAACACAAAAGTCCCAAATTACATCCTGTTTAAGTTTCATTGTAATTAATTTAAACATGTTGATAAATGTATGTATGTGTATAGTTGAAACCCAATGAGATTATTTTAAAAGCATATACACAAAATCTGAAGAAGATCAGGGGAACAATTAAATATTGGAAATGATCGATATACTTAAAGGAATTAAATAGAAACTGAATTAGCCATATTGAGTTGTCCTTCAACATCATCTATACAAGAGGAAATTTTTCACATATTCCAGATTAAAGCTTAACACAAATTAACTTCATGCACTGATAAGATGCTCGTTAAACCTTGTGAATTTTCTTCCTTTTAAGATGAAATCATAAAGATGGAGAAAAAGGAGAAAAAGAAAAAGGCTGGGACTGCTAATGGAAAAACTGGTGCTAAACGCACCCGAGGAAATACGCGAGGGCGAAGTGGACTCAGAGGTAGAGGTGCCAGAGTAAAACGTAATGTTCGAACTGCTAAAAAAGAACAAACATGGCAAGCTGGGCAAAATAGCAATAATAACAACAATAATAATGTGCGTGGTGGTTTTGTGAGAAAGCGATACAAGAAAAATAGTGGTCTGACTAGATCACGAAGTAATTTAACGTTGAATCAAAAATCTAATACACGAGGAGTTTTTAATGTTCGCCGTGGTCGCGGTAACAGATTTGGTCTGACTCGAAGTAGAAGTCGCACAAACTTGTCTTTTACGCAAAGAGGCTTTATTTATATAGCCTCTCCATTAAAAAGAACAAATAGTCTACCAAATTTACGCGATCCAACTTCAGTTCATAATCGATTGGGATATCAGAGCCCTGCTCAAATTGCTTACCGGAATCGTGTTAAAAGAGCAAAACAATTGCTGCTACAAAGACAGAACCAGAGATTATCCTTGCAAAACCAATTCAGAGTAAGTTAATATTGTATCAGCGATTAATTTCACACAATTAATTTGAAACGTAATCTTACTATTTGTTCTTTTTTTGTAGATTCCACAAACTGGAAAATCATTAATATCCCTTCAGCAAAGACCCACGAACAGAAGACAGCAGATTTTAACTTCTCAGCGTCGCTTTACTACTGGTGGATTACGATCAGATCAAATTGCCCGTGCACAAAGACGTGCGCAATATGAACAAAAATTAATGAGAATGAAGTATGCTTAAATGTCTTTATTTATTGTTCTGAGTAGCTTACAATCAAATTCATATAATTTGAAATATTTTTCTGTTTTAGTAAAACACAATTATTATTCTGATCTTTTCTTGTTTTTTAATTAAAAAATTTTGTGCTAAGACTTTATTGAAATAATGTTGTAGTTCTTCACGATTAAGTACAAACTCGAATGTAAACTTCATGCATACATTGGGAAATGAGTACAGTCCTAGCACGCATCAATGCCCTCTTACTCTCACACCAAGCCAAAATGAAAGTACTGTGGATAGTTTGCGCCGATTACCAAGAGGAAGATCTCCACTTACACAAACTATAACAAATCTGAGTGTGGTATGATGTCATACTATCATAACAGATATCATTTAAAAAAAAACAAAATTATAATGAAATTTGTAAATTTCAGATTCGCCAATCACCTATGTTTGGCCGACAGCGTTCAAGATCAAGGTCGCGTTCCCGTTCTCGTACACGTAACACTCCATCATCAGATGCAGGAGCAGATGTTGATCGTACTTTCAGAGAAATCATGTGTAGCTTGTCGAGAAATTTCCCGACAAGAACGCTTAATGATAGATTTAGTTCTTAAATTGAAGAAGAAAAGTTGTTTTGTATTTAGAACATAAGACTGTTGAGGCCAGAAATTTTATGCTTAACATAGATACAAGAAAATGTTTTCTTATCAATTGCATTAATATTAAAGTTGCATTGTAGAAAGCAGTTTATCTAAATCGAATGTTTCCCACTTTTTTTTCTCTTTTTTATTATACAATATGAAAATTATTTTTAAGTTCTAAAGTGTAGAACACTTACATTTGGGACATATTTCAAAACATTAAATCGGTAATAAATGCAATGTTTGATATTACCTTGCAACATTTGACTTCATGCCAATAAATTAATTTGCATTTTCCTTCTAGTAAACGTTTAATATAAATATATGTAATAAGGAAATTTCGTAGTAGATTTTTGTATAAAAATACTTATTGCAATTTTTTTAAGTATTAAAAATAAATTTTGCCTTTAATTAATACAACAATATTTCATTCTTTATTCATAAATATTTTAACAACATTTGTATTTTGTTTTTATGTACATATAACTAAGTTGAAATAATTTTACTAGAATTCATTTTTATTTTGTTAAAAAATATGGCCTCAATGAATTTAATTTGTGTATCTACATCAAAGTACTAACAAAAAGATAGGGAGCTATAATTGCATTCGAATTATAAAATTTTTCGGAATTTTGTTAAGGACGTAGTTCCTAAAATAAGAAAAAGTCTTAATCATAGAATAAATTTTTAATATAGGTACAAGCATTCACATTTCAAATATATTGAACACAATATATCAATGAAATATAAGTTTATAATGTATAGCATGAACTCCTTTGTTTGTTATACGTATCTAGTAATTATAAGCGCTGATAAGGAGATCGTAATCAAAGTATATCTAGCGTATACATAGAACTGTAATGTAAATTGAATCTTTATATTTTACTTTATTAACATAATTCATTACATATATCTCTTACAAACGTGTATATATACACATATAAAAAGTAGAGTAAATGAATCTTTATTAAAATATAAAATACAATATAAAAGTTACGTTCAATCAAACGAATAGTTTATTGAAACTTATGATCTCACTAAATATATCGTGAGATAAATAAAATATTACGACTTGCAAATTTCTATGTTGGACAACATGATGCAATTATTACAAAATGCAATCATTTTTGTAATACTTGTATCGTAAATTTATGATTGAAATATTTTTCCGAATATAATTTCATATAATTACAGTTACGATGTCTCAAAATTAGTGTTCATCGCCTACTTGGTTTAACAAATTTTTGCTTGAATTTACAAATTCAAAGTACAATGCTTCTGCAAGCAAAATATTTTGCAATATTTTCTGTGATGAACAAATATTGCTTTATATTTTTCGACAAAACCAAGTAATTTTCGGCGTAAATGCGTAGACAAATTCTTTTACGGCAATAAAGTTGTCCAAAAGTATTTGTCAGCAATATGTCTTTCGGACTTTCGTTATTTATGTCATTTTGTGCTCGAAAAATAGGAAAGCAGGTAAAAGTGATGTATACTTTAAATAATTATATACAAATATCAGTATCAATGGAAAATATATCCAAGAAAATATTTTCAGTTGTTAAGTCATACTCCTGTCGTTTTTCAACAAACTCGACATTTACAAGTTCACGAATATATCGCATATACTTTTTTAAAAGAACGTGGAGTTCCAACTCCGCCCTTTGGAATAGCTAAAACGCCAGATGAGGCTGCCAAGATAGCAGCAGATCTCAAGACGAAAGATATCGTTTTAAAGGCACAAGTTCTTGCTGGAGGACGTGGAATGGGACATTTTGAAGATACCAACGTCAGCGGTGTTGAAATGTGTGAAACGTGAGTTTAATTCAATCAATGCTATTATATTATACTATTGTATTTTTTATATTACACTAAAATTGATATAATTTTAGTCCCGAACAAGCAAAAACTTTGGCTAGTAGTATGATAGGCAAATTGCTAGTAACTAAACAAACTGGAGCAGCTGGAAAAATCTGCAATTCAGTAATGGTGACAACACGTATGTTTCCACGCAAAGAATATTATATAGCAGTAATGATGGAAACTTCTTTTGATGTAAATTACAATGTTTTTATTATAATTAGACTGTGGATCTTATGCAAATTTATATGTTTACAGTTTGAAATTGTTCTCTCAGAGAAAGAATTTCAGATTGACTTGAACTACATTTACTAAAATATGTAATAACTTGTACATATTATTGATATTTTGTATAATTTTGCATAAATGTATAATTATTCGCAGTCTAAGTGTAACAGTTGTTGAATTTATTATTCAAAGTAAAAAAATGAATTATTTATAGGGTCCTGTTATAATAGTATCCAAACAAGGCGGTGTAAATATAGAAGACATTGCCGCCACGAATCCTGAAGCTATATCATATACACCAATAAATATCATGAAAGGTTTAACACTTGAACAACTGAATAAAATTGTGGATGATTTGGGTATACAAGAAGAAGGAAGAAAAATTACTTCATTAATTATTTGCAATCTATATGAGTTATTTATCGAAAAAGACGCATTGTTACTTGAAATTAATCCATTTGCATTAGATATTTGCGGAGAATGTATGTTTCATATACCGGATTCATTCTATCAAGTTAAAAATAATAATAATAATAAGTGTTATGTATTTTCAGATTTTGCCTTAGATTGTAAATGTTCCTTTGACGATAGTTCAGAATTCAGGCAGAAGAAACTATTTGCATTGCAAGATTTCACACAAGTCGATCCTAATGAAGTACAAGCATCGAAATTTAATCTAAACTACATAGCTTTAGATGGAAACATAGGATGTTTGGTAAATGGAGCTGGATTAGCAATGGCCACTATGGATCTCATAAAACGCAATGGCGGCATGCCAGCCAATTTTTTAGACGTAAGCGGTAATGCTGATGCAGAAAGTGTAAAGGAAGCTTTTAAAATAATTGTCTCTGATCCGAAGGTACTTTAAATATTCAAATTATACGAATTTATTTCGCAATAAATTCAAAAACATTTAACATAATATTTGATAGAACTGTTTTCTACGAACTTTTAGGTAGAAGCAATTTTTATAAATATATTTGGTGGTATTATGAGGTGTGATATAATTGCACAGGGTATTATCAATATATCAAAAGAAGTAAAATTAAATGTTCCCGTAGTTATAAGGCTGCAGGTAATTCATAGATAATACACGAAGAAACATACGTTATTTTGTTCTAATCTAATCAAATCATATAGGGGACTAATGTGGAAAAAGCAAATCGATTAATAAGGGAAGCACAATTAAAAGTTATCTCTGTAGATGATTTTGCTAAGGCTGCTGAATCTGCTGTAAAACTGGCATTGATGGTGCAAATTGCAAATTCTATGAATTTAGACCTTATTTTTATGTCCAAACAATCATCTACGAAAAAGGAAGAAAAAAGTAAGAAATCGAAATGAAATAAATTTTTATATTTTTTAAGAAATAATATATAGCTGTTATTTTTGAATACATGTATATTACAAATATATGTGTTATGTATGTATATTGCAAAATTATGATAATATACTGTACAAAAATTATATATACTGTTTTCACTTTTTTTTTATATTACATAAATATATAAATATAATATGTTTTGTAAGAAATAAATATTTTTCTTCAGAGTTATAACGTAATGTAATTGTAATAGTATGAAACTGTTATTGCCAGTGCACAAAAAATAAAAAACAAATTTTTGTAATTTATTTTATTAGAACAAAATTGAAAGAATACAAATATTTGAATCAATCTGAATTAAATTAATTACATTTTTTCTAATGTACAAATGTAATAACTTTTATAAAAGTAATATGATGAATTCATTACTAAAAGTTATAATTATAATTTAATGAATCATAAAATTGTACTATAATAGTAGGAAGAAACAAAATGAATATAAATCGGAGAAAATTCAAATAGGTATAAAGTGCGGCAATCGCGGAGTTTGCGTCATGTTTTTGCAGGAAACGTCAAGAAGGTGGGGACGGGGACTTGAAGGCGCAGTGTACACTTTGCAGTCCACTGCTTTAGTAAGATGGCCACCATGTTGTCCCGGACTATCTCACTCGTTGAAAATTTCACCCGATTCAGCGGATCAAAGGTACATTAAATATCCTATTCTTTCTGTCGTATCATGTCGTTCGTTCGCAGTAATTCTCATTTATTAATGTCTTCTAATTTCATTTTCGCGAATCCATCAATATTTACGCCAATGATTCATAAGTGGTGTAATCACCATATTAGATGTCTGTAGTCTGCTAAATTGGGCGCCAGGGTCAGACGATTCGAAGCCAAAGATTGTGACCTTGGGTTGAACCAAGCTTTTTTTGTGAAATAGAACTATGACAGTTGTGCAACACAAATGTGAGGGTTTTCACAATTAATCTCGGTTTCGTTGGGCATTAACTCTTTATTCGTATTTAATTGATACCTATTCAATTAAGTGGTAACGAACATGTCATTTGTCAAATTTCCCAAAATTTTCGTTCGTTACAAAAATTTGAAATTCGAATGATCGATCATCATCACTATCGATTATTTTCATCTTACTTTTCTTTTAAAAAACTTGTGTGTGTGTGTGTGTATATGTATGTATGTATATAATATATATTATATATATAATGAAATAAAATATATTATATATATAATTAAATAATGATAATATATATACATGAAAAAATAATGACAATATATTATATATATATAATATATAATATATATATATATAATATGTTATTGTCATTATTTGATTTTACATCATTTGTTTTTAATAATTATGTTTGTTGTTTGTTATCTTTTCTTAGTTTGATCAGTCAATGTATATCTTTACCAAAGACAAAATAAAATACAAGTGCCAAGTACTTGACTAGGAGTATGTAGGTCATTACCACTGATTGATCTTTGTGTTCAGAATATTTTTACATCTTCTTATTCCTCTTAATAAACAATTGACGTCTACTGTTATCATAAATGTAGTCAATAGGTTTACGTTATGTATGTTTTATTTATTGTTGTTGATTCATTTCTATTTTATTTATACAGATATTGGGATGCAAAACTAATTTAGTAAAGCAACCAGTTAGGAATTTGAATGTTCATGAACACATCAGTTATAGTTTATTAAATGAAGCTGGAGTTCCAACTCCTAAGTTTGGAGTTGCTAAAACTCCAGACGAGGCTGCTAAACTTGCTGCAGACTTGAAAACCAAAGATATTGTTCTGAAAGCCCAAGTCCTAGCTGGTGGCAGAGGAAAAGGACATTTTAAGGGAACTAACGTTAGTGGTGTAAAGATGTGTGAAACGTAAGTTATCGTTAATAGATGATAAATATGTATGGTTTATGTTACATTATTTCTTTTTTTTTTTATAGACCAGAAGAAGCAAAAAAATTAGCCAGCCAAATGTTAGGTAAATTGTTAATTACAAAACAGACAGGTGAAGCAGGTAGAATATGCAATGCAGTAATGGTTACACAACGCATGTTTCCTCGTAAAGAATATTACCTTGCAGTCATGATGGAAAGAGCCTTTGGTGTAAGTTGAATGAACATAATTTTAATAAATGGAAAAATAATTTTTTAAATTTTTTATTTTAGGGTCCAGTCATAATTGCTTCGAGTCAGGGTGGTGTAAATATTGAGGAAGTTGCTGCAACGAATCCTACTGCTATCATGTATGAACCCATTGATATTTATAAGGGTATAACAAAAGATCAAGCAGAACGTATTGCTGTTAAGCTTGGACTTCAAAATGTTAAAGATTATATTTCTAACATCATCATAAATTTGTATCAAATGTTCCTTAAAAAAGATGCCCTTTTATTAGAAGTGAATCCCTTAGCAGAAGATGTCAATGGAAAGTGTAAGTTTAATTCTAAAAATTTACTAAATATTATTATCATATAAAGCAACATCTAAAAATTTTATTTTTTATACAGACTTTGCTTTGGATTGCAAGTGCAGATTCGATGATAATGCTGAATTTAGACAAAAGGAATTATTTTCCTTGAGAGATTGGACTCAAGAAGATCCTAAGGAAGTTGAAGCTGCTAAATATGATTTAAATTACATTGCACTTGATGGTAACATTGGTTGCATGGTAAATGGTGCTGGTTTAGCCATGGCTACTATGGATATCATAAAATTGCATGGAGGAGAACCAGCCAATTTCTTAGATGTAGGCGGTGGTGCATCTACAAGTGCCGTGAAAGAAGCATTTAAAATAATTACATCTGATTCACGAGTGAGACAACATAGAAATTATCATTTTAAATATTAGTAAAATTGCTAAATATTTTTTATTAATCAATTATAGGTTTATAATTAACAATTATTATTATCAATTAAAGGTTCATGCTCTTTTAGTCAACATATTTGGTGGAATTATGAGATGCGATGTTATTGCAGAGGGAATCATTGCTGCAACTAAAGAACTTAGCTTAAAAATTCCTGTTGTTGTTCGATTACAGGTATAATCCTAAATATGTATTAATATTTTAATGAAGTAATTGACATGTAAATTTAATTTTATTTAATTATATTGGCATTTCAGGGTACAAATGTAGACGAAGCAAAAGCTCTTATCGCAAATGCAGGTTTAAAAATTGTACCGATCGATGATCTTGATGAAGCTGCCCGAGTCGCAGTTAAATTATCAACGATTGTTAAATTGGCACAATCTGAAAATCTTAGCGTTAATTTCGAAATACCTTCAATTTCATAAATTTAGTGAAAATTATCAGAAAGACTTCGAGGATAAATATTTGAAACAACATTTGAAAGTAATAATTAGCTTAATAATTTCAAATTTCGTATCCGTACTATCTTTCGAATCATATTTGAGTACTTTATATATTTCTATTATAAGTGGAATGGAAAGTAAGTTTGTTGAAATTTTTGTTTTGTTCGATGTTCAAAACATCTATATTCTATATATCTATAATTTTATTCTCTATAAAAAGAAGGAAAAAACTGAACACATATTTAATTACAATCTTGTACAGTTGAAATGTAAAAAGTATTAGACAATTGATGTTACTTCCTTCTTAATGCAAGCACAAATTCATTCCCAAGAAGTATATAAACTTCAAGAATGTAATTTATTGCTTACCCAATTAACGGGTTCCTGTGATTCAGTATTAAAATTAAGTTACATAATATGCACTTACTGATATAGTCACATCTTTTACACAAAAGTGTATTCTACATTCTTTCAAAGCTTATATATGTGCTAACAAAAAAGTACATGATTACTGTCCAAGAAACGAAACCTTTTATATAACCATCCACAAAAAAAAATTGTTATAACTGAGATATTATACGAGATATGACTGCCATATCTCATTTGAAAAGAAGGGCCTGTTCAATGTAATATAGACATATGTAGTTATATGTATACATATATAAATTATTTTACGTAATTTTCATTTGTTCTTATTTTATTAATGGTAAAATAATGTTCACATTTTCTTGATTCCCTGAAACATAATTTCATTATAAAATAATCACATTACAATTTATCAGTATTATAACATGACGTGGCCACGCAGTGATAAAGTAGTTATGATATATTGTTTGCATTTACATTATACATATTATGCTGTTACAAAATATACTGCATTGTTATATAATAAATCATAATATAATTTAATTTATTAAAAGAAATTTATATATAAAAGAAGTTTCTCATTCAGTAAATGTAATATTATTTTAAATATACGATAAAAATATATCGAATAAAATTTTTCATGTTCCTCTGAATACGAAGTTATTTGAAAAAAATTTTTGCTTAAATGTAATTGTTACAATCAGCAATAATTATCTTTTTCAATAAAAATATGTAATTGTTATAAGATGAGTATTCATTTCATTTGTCTAAATTTAATTCGAAATATGTTGAAAAAGAAATATTAATATTCGGTATTTATTTTTAATTTTAGATCTTTTTAAGTTGGCCTTCCTGCTTGATGAACACCTTATATACGATTGGTATTCGCAATTTATTTTGAATAATGCACATAACAAAATCTTTTAATGTCATCTTTTCTTATTCTTTTAAGACTACTAAATTTAAATCATTAGTATTTAAATGGCTAAAACAAAGAAAAAACGCGGTTTCTCAAGAAATAGGATTTTTAAAAACTCAGTTTTGAAAATTTTTATTGTTTTTTTGTCCATTCACTGTAGTCGGATTTATTTCTTAAATTTTTTACTATTTACTATTTTATAAATATTTTGTAACCTTATTTGAATTATTTTTTAATTATATTATTAAAATATCAAAAAATAAAATTTATTAATGTTTCATTAATATTTATTTGTAGTTGTTGGTAGCAAAGTCAAATAAATCCATAAATAAAATAAAATAATTCAGACATCAACTAGCGAAGATAAGGCAATATATTTTTATTTAATTAAAGATATAAAATTTTAAGAAATTATAACTTCAGATGATCCAGGAAAAGGGAAAGCCCAGACTGGTAAGAACCTATTATATATTTTTTTAATAAAAATTCTCTGAAAGAATTTTTTAATTTAATTTTATTAGCGTTTTATAATTTTACACAATAGGAAGATTCATTGGTAAAGATTTTGTAGCTATAAAAAATAAGTTGGATTAAAGTTGCCTAACATTATTATTGAATTGCTATGGTATTATCACATTGTTATTTATCAGTACAAAAGATTATTTAATTTTTTAAACCAACATAAGCATGATTAATTTTAATTAATGTAATATAAGTAAAGAAATAAGAAAGAACAACACGGGTAAATGTTAAAAATACTATTAATTTACATATATAAACTATATATATATATATATATTCCTTTTCTTTTTACTTAACGATTGTGATCATAATATGATCCATATTAATTACAATATTTATAATTTAAAGAACAGCACATGCTCAATACATACTCAAATAAAATTATATCTATTAAATAAAGGAAATATAAGCATTTATAAAATAAATTTATTTAAATGAAATTAGTCTTTTTGTTGGATTTTTTAGATCGTTGAAACTTGCAAAAAAATGTTAACGCGTAAGAAATATCGTTTAAGTGATATTAAACGTTCTAGGAAGAAATGAACCAATCGTGAAGCTATATTCCGATGTTTCTTTTCCACGGTTGTTGTTCCATTAGCTTTAGGAACGCAATTTCCTATCAAAATTTGGCAGTCCAAGTTGCGGTAAAGATTCGCAGTATTGAAATGCTGCCGACAGTGAAATTTCATTAAAATACAGTTTCTAAAAAACGATTTTCTATCGAACAAACGTAATCGAGTTCAGTATCGTCTGCTTCGACGGAGCTTCGTAGTTTTTTTTTATTTTCGTTTCATTATAACGCAAAATATTGAAACGACAACTGTAACCGGCTGTAAAAGTTTTCAATCATGGCTAGTGTTTCTTATCAAATTGCAAATCTGCTAGAAAAGGTATTTGATGTGTTTCTTTGAGTGTACGTTGCACGATTTTTTCGTTTTTTTTATACAGAAGTAGAATTGGGGAAAATGTTATCGTCTGACTCGACTATAAGACTCAACTTCTACATAACCTCGCTTTATTATTTAAAAAAATATACAACAATTCTTATAAGAAGTTACTTGCTAACTCTCAACGCGACCAATGATGTTACGCTCTGTTTAATATTATTTCTTCTAAAATTATAATAAAAATTTTATTGTTATATACATCATATGCATAAGAATGTAGAATTTATGAATACATTATCAGTAAGAAACAAAGATGTTTTCAACTGTTATAAAGATATCACATGTATATATGCGTTGCACACGCATGCGTGTACACACACACACTGTTTTTATCTTTCGAATAATTCAAATTTTGTATTTATAATAAGATCATTAGTTGCTACATTATGTTTATTATTAATAATTTAATCATTTTCACTTACGTACAGTAATTTTAAAAGTATAGATTTGTTTATTATTATTTACTTTGTATAAATATTTTAATTTATTTTATTATTTTAGATGACATCCACTGATAAGGACTTTAGGTTTATGGCAACCAATGATTTAATGAGTGAACTCCAAAAAGATAATATCAAACTAGATGATGATTCAGAACGTAAAGTTGTAAAAATGCTTCTAAAGCTATTGGAGGACAAAAATGGAGAAGTACAAAATCTTGCTGTAAAATGGTACACTTACATTTAGATTTAGACATAAATTCTTTTGGTTTGGAATTTCATGATATTGTGTGTTTATTTTGAACGTTAGTTATGTTTTTTTTCTTTCTTTTTTATAAATTAAATATATCTAATTGCTTGTGTGTTCAAAACGCATATTATGTTTGCAAGATTTTCTTTGTATTTGGACACGATTACAGAAACGTGTCCGATTTCAGTTTGGGCCCACTAGTCAATAAGGTAAAGGAGTACCAAGTGGAAACTATTGTAGATGCCCTATGTATTAACATGGTGTCAGATAAAGAACAATTAAGGGATATTTCCAGTATTGGTTTGAAGACTGTAATATCTGAGCTTCCTTTGGGATCCAGTGCACTTGTTGCGAATGTTTGTAAACGAATAACAGGCCGACTAAGTAGTGCTATAGAAAAAGTAATTAATGGTGTCCATAACTTATATATAACACATTTCAGAATCATTAAAATAAAATTTTATATTATATATTCAGAATAAAGAAAATAATTCTTTATCACATACAGCAGGAGGATGTATCTGTACAACTCGAAGCACTCGATATTATGGCCGACTTATTGTCCCGATTCGGTGCTTTGCTAATTACGTTCCATTCCACTATTTTGGCCGCATTGTTGCCGCAACTTTCTTCTCCTCGTCAAGCAGTACGAAAGCGTACTATAATAGCGCTGAGCCATCTTTTGACTTCAAGCAACAATTATTTGTACAATAAACTTGTAGATCATTTACTCGAAGGTCTTTATACTCAAACAGCGAAAAATGTAATACGTACTTATATACAATGTATTGCTTCCATTTGGTAAGTATTTTTATGAGAATTTATTACTTGTGCATTATTAAATTAGTTTCTCACTTAGTTTCATTGTTAAATTTCAGTCGTCAAGCAGGGCACAGATTTGGAGAGCAAATAGAAAAAGTTATGCCACTAATTGTACAGTATAGCAATGAAGATGACGATGAACTAAGGGAGTATTGTTTGCAAGCATTTGAATCTTTTGTATACAGATGTCCTAAAGAAATTACTCCGCATATAAATAAAGTGCGCACATTCTCTTAAATAAGTTTAATATTTCAGATTCACTGGAATTATTCAGAAATTAGGATTAAATTGTGTTTTATTGTTAGATTATAGAAATTTGTTTGGTTTACATCACATATGATCCAAATTACAATTATGATGATGACATGAACGATATGTCTGATGGAGAAGATGTTATGATGGAAGTAGAAGAAGATGGAGAGGAGGATGCAGAAGACGAATATTCAGATGATGATGATATGAGTTGGAAAGTTCGCAGAGCAGCCGCAAAATGTCTTGAAGCTGTTGTGTCTAGTAGACGAGAGCTTCTTCCCGAACTTTATAAAGTTGTTTCTCCAGCTCTGATTTCAAGATTTAAAGGTATCCTTCGAGTGGAACAAGTTCAAGAAAATTGATTCATAGAAAATTGGTGTTAGAGTTAAATCGTTACTAATACAATTTTACTTTTGTAGAAAGAGAGGAAAATGTAAAATCTGATATTTTTCATGCATATATTGCGCTTCTAAGACAAACAAGACCAGCTGCTGGCGTAGTTCTTGATCCGGATGCAATGGAAGATGATGATGGACCGATTGCATTGTTACAGCAACAAGTCCCATTGATCGTAAAAGCTGTCCACCGTCAAATGAAAGAGAAAAGCATTAAAACGAGACAAGATTGCTTCTCACTGCTGAAAGAATTAGTGCTTGTATTGCCCGGTGCTTTAAGTAATCACATACCTGCTTTGATACCTGGTATACAATACTCTTTAGGGGACAAAAATTCTTCATCCAATATGAAAATTGATGCATTGGCATTTGTACATACGTTATTAATAACCCACCAACCAGAAGTATTCCACGCTCATATGGCAGTATTAGCACCGCCGATTATAGCAGCTGTCGGAGATTCTTTTTATAAAATTACAGCCGAAGCATTGTTGGTATTACAGCAACTTGTTCAAGTAATCAGACCACATGGTAAACAAATTTATTTGATTGTAGATTTAGAAATGAATTAATGAATGATTAAAATCGTTATAATAAATATTATTTCAGATAAATCGTGTTATTTCGATTTTACATCGTTATCTGGGGAGATATATCGTTGCACATTAATGAGATTGAGAACAGCGGATATTGATCAAGAAGTAAAAGAAAGAGCGATCGCTTGCATGGGTCAAATTCTTGCGCATTTTGGAGATACACTGTCTGATGAATTGCACGTATGCCTTCCTATATTCCTGGATAGACTTCGTAATGAAATCACTCGGCTTACAACAGTAAAAGCTTTGACTTGTATAGCCTCATCTCCTCTGAGAGTAGATCTTAATCAAATTATGGTACATATGTTACCTTTATAAATTAATACCTTAGAACATTTTAATTTTACTGTATTTATTTCATTTTATTATATCATCTTACAGGAAGAAGCAATTCCAATTCTTGGATCTTTCCTGAGAAAAAATCAGCGAGCTTTAAAATTATGTTCTCTTCCACTTTTAGATACATTGGTTCGAAATTATAGCTCCACCCTTCACACCGATTTATTGGACAAGGTAATATATAAAAAAACAATAATCAGCAATCCTTGTTATAACAAAGTATCTTATTAGGTCACTACAGAATTACCAGCGTTATTAAACGAGACTGATTTACATATTGCACAATTGACTCTTAATCTTCTCACTACTATAGCAAAGTTACATCCAGTCGCTCTTACAAGAGTTTCTGATAACATCCTTCCAGAAATATTAGTTTTGGTGAAGTCTCCACTTCTTCAGGGTAATATATATTATTATTACTTAAATAAAAATTTGTATATAACAAAAATATTAATAATTCTTTATATCCTAGGGGTGGCTTTGAATTCGATGTTAGAATTTTTCCAAGCATTAGTACAAGCAGATATACCAGGTCTTGGTTACAGAGAACTACTCTCAATGTTATTAGCTCCTGTCAGTCAATCCGTACTTCACAAACAAGCTTATCATTCCCTCGCAAAATGTGCAGCTGCATTAACAATCACCTGGCATCAAGAAGCTCAAGCGGTAGTTGAGCAATTTTTAAAAGATGTTCAAAATCCTCAGAGTGATGCGCAGCATATTTTTGCATTATTGGTTATTGGTGAAATAGGTAGACACGTGTAAGTGGTACTACATGTGCAATAGATATTTATCATATCGGTTTTGAATTTGACCATTATCTCTTACTTAGGGATTTGAGTGGCATTAGTTCTCTAAAGCATATCATTTTGAATTCATTTTCTTCCCATTCGGAGGAAGTAAAGTCAGCAGCTAGTTATACATTAGGTAACATAGCGGTTGGTAATCTTCCAAAATATTTACCATTTATATTGAAAGAAATTGAGGCACAACCAAAGCGTCAGTATCTTCTTCTACATTCGTTGAAAGAGGTAAACTTTTTTAAACATTTTAAATTTCGTTTTATTTTTATTGGAAATATAAAATTCTTTGAAAATTTGATGGATTGCAGATAATTACATGTCAGTCTGCTAGTCCATCCGGGGTAACTCATTTGCAAAACTTCGTACCTTCGATCTGGATGCTTTTATATAGGCATTGCGAATGCACAGAAGAAGGTACCCGTAACGTTGTAGCGGAATGCCTAGGAAAACTTACTTTAATCGATCCTGCTACTTTGTTGCCAAGATTACAAGAATCGTTAAAATCAACATCTGCGCTTTTAAGAACCACTACAGTTACAGCTGTTAAATTCACTATTTCTGACCAGGTATTTCATATATTAATTTTAGTTGCTAAAATAAATAAATTAATTTTTTAATGGAATTCTTCGCAGCCACAACAAATCGATGCTATGTTAAAACAACGTATGGATAGTTTCTTAGTTGCTTTGGAAGATCCTGATCTGAATGTCAGAAGGGTAGCTTTAGTTGCATTTAATTCAGCAGCTCACAATAAACCAATGCTCATAAGAGATTTATTAGACTCGGTGTTACCACATCTTTATGCTGAAACTAAGATTAAGGTATTTGGCAATGAGTGATTTACATAATAATATAAATTTACATATGTCATTTATTGAATTAACTTATTGTATTGAATAATTTAAATAATTTAAATGTAGAAAGAATTAATAAGGGAAGTGGAAATGGGTCCATTTAAACATACAGTCGATGATGGTTTAGACCTCAGAAAAGCAGCATTTGAATGCATGTACACATTGCTCGACTCTTGTCTCGATCGTCTTGATGTTTTCGAATTCTTAAATCACGTTGAAAATGGTCTTAGAGACCATTATGACATTAAGATGTTAACTTATCTAATGACTGCGAGACTTGCTCAGTTATGTCCCACGGCAGTTTTGCAGAGTAAGTATACAATATGAATTATAAATTAATTATTGATCTTTATTAATGAGATATTTGTAGGGCTAGAACGATTAGTTGAACCATTGAAAAGTACTTGTACAATGAAGGTAAAAGCGAATTCTGTGAAACAGGAATACGAAAAACAAGATGAACTGAAACGTTCGGCATTAAGAGCTGTAGCAGCGTTATTAACTATTCCAGATGCTGGTAAAGGATAAAAGATCATTTATCTGGAAATTATTTCTTTACAAGTCATTTTTCATTAATTTTGCTGTTTGATTCGTCAATTTTTATTCTTCTTTTTCAGACAAAAATCCATCGTTAAGCGAATTTGTTACACAGATCAAATCAACGCCCGAATTACAACCACTTTTCGATATAATTCAAAAAGATTGTATTGGCAGTAGCGTGAATGAAACCAATGTCATGGATCAAAGCTAAAATATCTATGACTTACTTTTTGTATTTCACATAGATTGCTGTTAGCTAAGCATCCACGGTCATATTATTCATAGTTTATTTCTATACGTTATTTTTTCATTATTATCTTCGATCTGAATTGTAGTTTGAGATGAATGTGATTTCATGTAATACACCATGTATAAATTATAAAATAAATTTGCCAATTGTAAGCATCTTACAATAACGATTTTTCCTTTAACAATAAAAAGAAAATTTCTAGTCTGGTTTAATTAATTTTACGAAGGAAAAGGAAATATAAAAGTTCATTCATTATTGTTCCTTTTCAATTGCACAGTCTAACTTAAAAATTTATGATTAATGTGCCATCTGCTCATGCACGTATTTACCTATTCCATTTGCTGACATATATAATTAATTCATTAGCAAAGGTTATTATTACTTTTCTTTTAATTTTATTAATCTAAAAATGGATCTCAAGCCAATTATATTTCACATAATAAAAGCTACACTTTCTATAAATGTGCATATCCATATGTTTCGTGTAATGTTGAGTCATGCTATTAATAAAACGGTAAATCATTAGTGTCAGTTAGGATGTGCCAGAAATAAATGAAGTTTAAGGAATATACTTTGGAGGTGGTACTTTGCCAAATATTTTGCGGTCGACAGCCTTTAATCTTATGCTATAGCTATAATAATATTATCTTGATAATTTTGGCACTAAAATCTGTTAATGGTCATGTTGATGGATAACCGTTCGATTTATCTAATATAATTGAAACTTCCCAATTTAAATATAACATATATATATAAAATTTAAAAAATAACGAAGATGTATTAAGTTTTATACTTGCAATCATCTTCATCCTTTCATAATTCAAATTTTCTACTATTGTAGTTAAAATTTTCCTACTATTTTAAACCTATCACATTTACATTTGAATCTAATTAAAAAATTTCTGAATAAAATTTGAGATTCTTAATAACCTCATAATTATTATCATTATCATTATTATAATTTATATTGTAGATCACGAAAAGTTTTGACCGCATTCCTATGCTCTAGATGACAACTGCGTCAAGCACAGAAGTTGTCTGAGCCATTGATTGAATCATTTAGCACAAGAGTCCAGATTTGTTTTTCTTGCGAACTCGTGATAATTTTTATATGCATGTGAGCTCCGCAGTCCTTCACCTAATTCCGAAACCTGTCACTAATCACGTTTCCCATCCTTTATCTAAATCCTCACTATTTTTGGAATATGGCTTTAATTTAAACAATATATAAAAAATATATAATATCTTTGCAGGAATCTCTTTTATCAATACCGAAAAGATTAAATTAGTAATAGATAATAATAAGTAGATAATTACCGTAACTTAAATAATCAACTGTAAAGAATACGAGAGAGAGTTACTAAGAAAAATTAATTGCGCAATTTATTATCATGAATTCGAAATTGGGCCACATACATGAGAAATGTGTATGCTATATATAAAAAAAAAAAATTCTCCGAATCGTAGGTCACTGAAATTTCTAATGTTGCAGAAAATCACGTAGACATTTGCAAGCTAAACCACTTTTAACTCGATGCCTAGTGTGAAGTGCTACAGCGCACGTAGACCCAACTTGATCAACGCCTAGCTATTAATTATCTTCATACCTTTCGACGAAACGTTAGCTTATCTACATATTTGTCATTAACTCATTTATATTGAATCGTTTGCTTTACTTTCTAAAATATTAGAAACTTTATAATATTATAATATTATATAACTTATGTACTATAATATTATCAAAACTTTTTTAAATATATTACGATACTTATAAAATTATTTAAAAAATTATAGTAGTAAACAATGACGAGTAATATGTAAAGATAATTTTCTTTTTTTTTTTATGAAGTATGCTTCCTTGTTCTTACTAACAATGGTCATGTCCTCTTTTCTTTCACCGGATCAGTACTTTTTTATAAAAGAAACACGTAGTATAATACATAAGAAAATCGTATTATTATTAATAAAATTTTATCATGTATATTTGATTATATAAACATTTAATTATGTATGTTTGTAACATTTTATATTATTTAAAAAGAAACTGGTAAGATGTTTAGATTTGAATTATGCTTTCACGTGAATGCAATCGACGAAAAGGCAACTTGGAAACACATCTATCACTCGAATATGTTTCATCATCGTACAGTATGCTGGTGGTACCCCTTCGTTTGAAATCAAGTGAGAGAAAAACAGCAATTGCCGGATAAAGCTGGTGCGCAGTCGAAACGTGCCATCCGATTCGTTCATTTCCTTTTCTTCTTTCTTTCACAATCTTGGTATCTTCTTTTTTTGCATTCGAATAGTACATCGCTTTCTTTCTTGAGATTCCGAATTTATTTCGCAAATTAAATTTGTCGAATCTAATGGAGCTACTATACTACAAACATTCAATCGTATTCGTAAAAAGTGTACAAGAAATGCACAAGTATCATTCGATTGACGCGATGTATCTGAAATATTATCCAAACGATAAAATTTGAACATTATTGTCCGTTAGATAATTACGGTCTTACAGGGATAATGTTTATGAAAAGGACATTAATCCCGTTCTATAAAAACGCTGCATAAGCGCGTATGATAAATTGAGATTTTATCGATTTATTGTATTTAAATCTTTGTGTTTAAATCCTAAATAAGACTTTTGTTTTCTGCGCTTCTATGTTTAATGACATTTTTTGCTATTATATCACAGAAAACGAAAAACATCCGTTTAAGATAATGCGTCATTTCCCGGTTTGCGAAATTATCATACTTTATATTCCTCACCTATCAGATATATTAATATCTATTAAACCACAGAATAATCTTTTTCCAATTTTTCCAATATATCAATATACTTTTGATGTTGTCTGACAGCATTTAGCCCTTTGCTTAATGCTACTGTATGTTTCAAATTGATTACAAAATCTTAAAACCGTGTACTCGTCCTTGGCTTAAGAACATCGTTCATCGAATCTAACAGAATTCTTTTTTACGTTTCAGTCGCGACGAAGAAAGGAGAACTTACATCTTATTTATAAGAAAACGAGAAAGAAAAAGGTAGACTGCAGTTGAGGAAGGGAAAATGTTCATATCGTGCTGTGACAGAGTAGAAACTTGATCTAGAAAGATGCAAAGCGTGAAAATGAGTACCTTAATTTCGTACGCGATAATTAAATATAATAATATTAAATCTTCAGTTTCAGATCAGTGAACTCATCCCTCGTAAATTCAGGGTTTCTCGAATGGCTAACCCTTTCGTTTGCATGACCCGTGATTGGTTGATCGTTGATCATTGGTGGGGAAGTATAAAAGGGGGTTACTTCCACGGAGCAGCGCACTGTGCGACAGTACAACTTCGTCTACGCGTCGATTCGCGTCACAATTTCCAAATTGCCTTCGAACCGATTCAAAGTCAAATTCGACGGGTCCTGCTCGTGCGTAATTCGGTGTAAACGATTCGGCACGATTTCGAACGATTAATTCTTACGTTTATTATCACGCGCGAGATCTTGATCGACCGATCATCAAAAAAAGGAGAGCCATGTGTGTACGTACGTTGCTCGGTACCGAAACTAACGAGCCGGTAGTGATATACAACAGTCAGAACAAGCTGCAAAAAGCAAAAGAGAAGTACATAAAATTGCACGATGATCTGGTCACTAAAGAACTGGAGATTATCAAACAGCGGAAGAATCAGACAGTCTTTATACCAGAACTTGCCGATGACATCTTGAGAGCCAGCACCATAAACTATAGCTCACTTTTGAAAGTTCTGTCCAACTATTACGAGGCCGTGCAACAGACGAAAATTTTCAAGTAAGTTGTTCCGATATTTTTCATTGATCGATTTCATCGAAGTTGATTGCTTGGTCTCTGAGAAAAAAGAACAAAACGCATGTATTCCAATATTAAAATTATTAGAAATTTTTAGAAAATGGATCAGTTCGACTTTTGAACGGTTAGCTGTATTTGTCGTAAATTCGAACTTGTTCAGTTTTCATTGGTCAATCAAAAGTTAATATAGTTAATATAAAGGTATCAGATTGATCATTAAGCGCAGTGATGTCCGCATAGTGACGTGCAGTTTTATTCCTATAGAATTCGTGTGATGAATTTTCTTGAGTGAAAGTTGGCATGTCGTTGTCATTATATTTAAATCGTTGAAAGATGCCGGGTTTTTCCCCTCCTTTTCTTCCGACGAGACATTTTTTTTTCTATATTCAGTTTCCACTATGTGTCTAACCTATTAGCAATGCAAAATTTTGTTTATAGACGGTGTTAAGTGATATTTTCGTTTGCGTAATTTCGAAGCAGTCTTGAATTATATTTTATCGTATGTTATTTGCTATTATTTTATGCTTTATTAACATTTTCCTTTATAACAAGGCTAAACGGGAATATACAAATGTAAAAAAAACTTTTATAACCTATTAAACCGACCTCTTAAACCACTCGAAAAAAAAACTCAGGTGTGAAATATGTTTCAAATATTTAATATGTTACTTTGACAGGTGATAATTAAAACGGTAAAATTCATTCTTTTTCTCTACAAACTCAGACCTGTTACGAAGATTTCGAATAATTCAGTTATCAAATGTTTGATGAATTTAAAATCACGCGTGTGAACATCTATGAAATTAATGAGCCTCCATTTTTGTCCAACAGATAATTATAATCGTTATCGCGTGTCAGATAATGTCGAATCGAAATATATTTCTATTTATTTCGTTGATAACAATTGAAATCGTAGGCGCCATTCGCGTTGATATTTCATATTCGTTTCTCACGCGTTTTCAAACGAATTCGCGTCACGTGATCGTCACGATCGCTTCATGCCTTTCTCTCGCAAAAGTATTTTCCAAAATATCCAGTCGTCGATTAGCCATAAATTGATATTTAATGCAGCAATTGAAAAAAAGAAAAAAAATTATTAATATTATCCAACAAAAAAAAATTGATAATGTCACGAAAAAGATAATGGTAATTTGATTGAAGACAAAGTTAATTTGCATTGCATCGTGAGTTTACATAAAGTTATTTCCAAGTGATCAATATTAGATCGTGTGAACATTTTGAATGGCGTACCGCGTTTGTCTAAAAACATGTTACACGAGTGGTTGATGAATGACCATTCTCGAGATCCTTGGAAACGATAGAAAAAGAATAATTGAATAATTCAAGACCTGACTGCTGTTATCATTATGATGATAATAAAGCACAGAA